AAACTATTCAATAACTTTAATGTACCCCTCTTCTTTTTTCGTAAGAAAAAATAAATAGATGAATCTTTTAATTCCAGAATATATTAGAACTCCTAAACCATGCATTTGGTTTCCTCGTTCATGGTGCATTAAATCCAAGCTCCCTATCAATGCTGTTATCAGTCTTGTTTCTGAATCAAAATACGCAAAATGTTTTGCAACTATTAAGTTATATTCTAAACATTCAGAATTATTTCGTGATAGAAAAGAATTTCCAGAAAATTTAGAATTTAATTTGCCTACAGTCGAAACTGGAAATAGTAATATTCTTAATCCTGAAAATAATGGAAAGACACAAGCTATCATTTCTAGATTATTGGCTATTAATTTGAATATTTGTGAAATATCAGAAAATTTAAGCGATTTAAAATTTCCAATACAACTGAGGTTTGAAGAACAGGTAATGTAATTCTTTATATAATTATAACGAAATTTGCTTGATAATTGTCTTTTAAAAAAAATTTTTTTCTTATCCTAGATAAAAAATGTTCCAATTGCTACACGTGTTATTTTATACCCTCTTTCATCCAACCATAATTTATTAAAACCCAAATACTCATTTAATGATTTAGAAGAATCATTGTTCAGGAGAATCCATTTGGGCTCAATTGTTTCACCTAATGATTGGATATGTCATCATGGATGTAATGGAATTCAATATTTTAAAATTATTCAACCGTGTTTAAACGATGTTTCACTTTCACAAAATAACCCATCGTTAAATATTTCAAAAAAAGAATTTGTTGCGAGAATTTCTGAGAGCACGATAATTGAATTCATTAGGCATCAAGGAGGAGATTATGATCTTTTAAATATATCATTACCTAATCTGAAATTTCAAGAGAAATCTCAATGGATAGATAAAGTAATTAAAAAGATTGGTGGATTGGATGAAATTATTTTAGAAATTATTGAACAAGTCCATCTATTTGTTGTTACTGCAATGAGTAACAGGTACAGAAAAAGTGTTAAAAGAAGCAAAGGAATTTTATTAACTGGAAAACCTGGATCTGGGAAAACTGCTTTGGCTTTATGTTTATCAGGTATAGCTTATTAAAAAAAAAGTCAATGTTTTGGCATGTTCGATTCGATATTAATCATTTTTTATTTTAGAATCTTCCGGTTTACCATTTACTGTTATAAATTGTTCAGATACTTTCAAGACTGGTATATAGATAGTTATAATAAAAAGAATTATTTTTTACGGGATCAAATAAAAAAACTTATAAATATTAGGTGAAGGCGAAGGAGAAAATGAGCTTTGTTCAATATTTGAATCGATGACGCGTTATCGTGTCTCCATAATTGTTATGGATGAGATTGATATGATTGCTGATAAATTAGCAAGCGTTCGTCCAGGTAAAGTATATAAATTATTGTTTCTTTATTAAATGATCGTAACGTTGAAAAATTATCATTTAGGAGTCGAGTCAAAAATATATTCAATGTTGCTAAAACTTATTGATTCAATAAATGAGTATATTTGGCAAGATCCATTTAAAGGACAAATATTTATTATTGGTAAGAATAAAGATCTTGACAATAAGTTTTTCTGAATTTAATTTAATCCTTATTTGTTTTAATTAATTAATTATAAAAGGATTAACGAACAGATTGCACGCTGTGAATAGTAATTTGTATCGTCCCGGAAGGCTTGATAAGATTTATGAACTTAACATCAAAAAGTATGAACAAAGGTTGCAAATTCTTAAAATTATGACCAAAAGTAAGAATTTATTTCATTAATACCGAATATAATCGTTTTACCATTTATAGAAAAGTTTTATTGTTTTAAAATCAGAGATTCCATCTGCAGTGGAAGAGAAAGATTTCATCTTGGAGAGAGTAAGCCGATCGACCCACGGGTTTGTGGCTGCGGATTTACAATGTTTATGCACACATGTTGCAATGGAACTTTTACATGAGGTTTATTAAAAAAAAAAAAAAGTTATCTCGGATAGGTTTTTTCAAACATTTGAATTTGTATTTAACGAATTCATTGTTAAAGAACAAAGGTCCTTCACGTGCTTTTTTTACATTGAACCATTTCGAAAAAGCTCTTAAAGTTGTTAAACCATCGAATTTGAACGAATTTCAGACAAAGGTAAAATTTATATTGTTTTATTATTTATCTCGGAGATTTCTGACAACCTTTTTTATAATTATGACTTTAGACTCCTGATATTAAATTTTCTGATATCTTTGGAATCGATGATATTATAGATGATTTAAAAGTAAATATTTTTAATAATAAATTACTTATTTTATAGGTTGATAATATTAAATGTTTTATTTATTATTTAGATGACTATCATTGAACCATTCAACAATCCCCAAGAATTCTTACAATTCGGAATTTCTCCTCCAAAAGGAATTCTTATTTGTGGTCCACCTGGTGTTGGAAAGACAATGCTTTGCTGTGCTATAGCTGCGGAGACAGGAATTAATTTCATGCTCGTGGAGGTAATTATTCCTTTTTATTTGTGAGGTGTCCTTTATTCGTCCTAGCCAATTGCCCTAGTCAAAAATCACACAATTTGTATTTGTAGATACAATTTATAATTATTTATTTTTTTAGAGTTCACAAATTAGATCAAAATTAGTTGGAGAATCTGAAAGTAAGATTGCAAATATGTTTGCCCAAGCTAAAGCAAATTCTCCTTGCGTTTTGTTTATCGATCAGGTAAATTTTATTTAAAAGATTGTAACTCGGATTATGTATTTATTCTTTTTATCTCAATATATAATTTGAAATAAAAATTTTTTTTACTAGATTGACGTTTTGGCTCCAGTTCGAGCGAGTAATATGACTTCGGAAAATACCGGCGAAAGAATAGTAACTAGTTTATTAACAGGTATTTCAACAATTTAATTTTATATATACTTTCGTTATTTAAATAACATAAATCTATTTTATTCATAATAGAAATGGATGGTTTCTTTACTTCAAAGCATAGCCAAGGTCCTGAAGTTGAAGTTCTTGTCATTGCAGGTATTTAAACTATAAAAAATCAAGTTTTTTTTTTTTAAAAAAAAAATGTTAAAGATTAAAATATTCATTAATAACTAGCGACGAATAGACCTGAAATCCTTGATCCAGCATTATTAAGACCTGGAAGATTGGATCAACATATTTATATACCTCCTCCAACTTTAGAGGTTTTTGTTTCTTTTTTTTTTGTATCTATAATTCATTACCTATGTATTATTATTATTATTATTATTAATATTTATATTTTTTTTTATTTTCTTATTTAGCAAAGAGGAGAAATTTTAATTGGAAAATTCCATAAAATTCCCGTCTCATTAACGGAGGAACAAATTAATATATTAATTAACCATACAGATGGTTTTTCTGGTAAGAATTTATTTAGTAAACTTTTATCATTCACTTTATTTATCATTTCTTACATACATTACAGGAGCAGATTTGGACAATCTATGTAGGGAAGCGGCATTAATAAGTATTCGAGAAAATATAAATAACGAAACGGTTTGATTAAATTTTTTTTTTTTATTTATATTTTTTAAAATTATGAACGTATTTAAATTAACTAGAAATGAACTTATAGGTTACATTTGATCATTTTATGAAGGCAAAATCTGTTTGTAAAGCTTCTTTATTAAATTATAAATCAACCTATCACTATTATTTTGATTAAATAAAATATAGTATTATATATAATTATTCTTTTAAATTATTATGTATTTTTCTACGTGAATAACTGAAAATAAAAAAAATGGTTTGAATTCCATTTCATGTATCAAGTTGTCGATTTAATACAATTAATTAATTTCAAAAATTTTTTTTAATTTTCAAAAGATGAGAACTTTTATCAAATCTAAAAAGAGTTTAATTGGAAAAGGCTTGGAGAAAAAGGAAAAGGTTTTGAAAAAAGGAAGGTTAACTCAGCGATAAAATTACGAGAGGAATTGTTATCAATGAGTATTAAAATCAATATTACATATTAAAACTTAAATAAACCAGGTTGACAATAGTACGTCATTTGGAATTAAAGCTTTTTGAAACATTAGCTGATGATATGATTTATCTAATTGTAATCATGAATAAATAAATGATACAACGAAAAAATGTGAATTACATTCCAGTAACTAATCTAGGATATGTGACACGAATCTAAAAAAAAGAGAATTTCCATTAAAAATTTTTTTTTCATTGGCAAAAATAAATTTTCACCAATAAAACATACCTCATTATATAATTCGGGTTTGGTTCTAGCTAAAGCATTTGGATCTTCTGCTAAACATACAAAAGTGGTAGCAGTTCCACTCAATATAACAGATCCAATGATATTCAACATTTGAAAACCAACGATGAATCCCAAGAAAACAATCAAAGGAGTAAATTCTCCATTACGATTAAATGAAAGTTCAAATATAATCGTGTACAAATAACTTAATAATGCCGTGATAATTCCCACGAGAAATGCACCTAAACGAATTAAATGTCAATTTTTAAAATGAAAAAAAAATATATATATATACTGTATTTACATTCCAAAATTTAAAACATTTAAATAAATAATTACCCATAACTAAGACGTTACCAATTAAATTATCATTTATAATTGCATCAACACCACGATCTTTGACTAATGCCCAAGTATCCTGAAAAGGAAAGAAAATTAGACAAGGTTTAGAATAACAAAATAAATGCATTAAGATCAGCTCACCTTTGCCTATATTTTCATTTTGATTAAATCAAATCAAAAAAAAAATTTAGTAAAAAATCATCGTAATTAGAACTTTATAAAGATTAAAGAAACCTTACAGATTCCCAGAATGACTTTCCGTAAATTGCAACTTGCGTATAAGCATAAAAGTTGAAATATTGCTAAAAATAAAACGAAGGTAATTAATTAAATTAATAATAATGATGATAACAAAATTACTTTGAAATTCAAACTTTCTTACCAATAATGATTCGATACAACCGACAAGTACCGCAGCACAAGCGGCACAAAAAGCTCCAAACGGATTATCGGTATCCTGCGCCGCGCTTCTCAAAAGTGCACCAATAACTTGTAAAATAGCAACGAGTAAACTTCCTAAACAAATGCTTCCAAAACTTGTAGTTGAAGCACGTTTTGCACTTTTTAAAGTAGGTGAAGAAGGAACTCCTTCAGGTGTTCCTGCAAGGAAATAATATGTAGCAAAAACTCCGGAAGTTGTAACATGTACCCAAGTTTGAATAACTTGTGAAGTCCAATAGTAAGAGAATATTAAAAATATAATTATAGCAATTAATTTTCCATTTTCACATCCTCCTCCTGCTGCGGGCAAATTTTCACCGGGCCTTGTTTTGCAAGCTTCTGGATACCAAATTTGATATGCAGCTATTGATTATTTAAAGGCAAAAAAACGCGGCAGATAATCGAATTGGTTAGAGAAAATCACGTCCATAAATATCAATACATTTTTGTTTTTTTTTTAAAAAAAAAAAAAAAGAAAATTACCAATGAATGTAAAAATCCACCATATTGAGAATAAAGTCTCCGCAAATAATCCACCAAAAGAAACAAGAATCATACTCTTGTATTTCCTTGTTATGTCTGTTACAGTTTTAAGCATAACAGACGAAAATGGTATCATTGATCTCCACCTAAAAAAATAATAAGATTGTTACTTGCTGCGCCATAAATTGACCGACCCAATTTCAAAGTAACTTGAAATACATACCAAAACCAAAATAATGTATAAAAAAGGGCTAAAATAGCTGTTAAAATAGCCATACTAAAATATAACATAACAAAGAAATAAGCAGCTATACCCCAATAGAATATTATTGAAATAATAAATGTTCCTTTAATAAATTGTCTTGGGAATCTGTAAATTAATAAGAATCAGTAAGATCATTAAAAAAAAAAAAAGAGGGCAAAAAAAAGAAATTTATAATAACATATGAGCCAAGGCCAAATAGATTATACTTAGAACGAAACCTATTCCAACACAAACTAATAATAGCCATAGTATACTCCAATTTAATGTAACATCTTGACCGGTTTTAGCTCCACTACGTTGAAGTACTGCGTAATTTCTTAAAGCGATTACGGACACAGCGATGAATGCAACGAAATGTAATAAGAAAAAGATAGCAGCCCCTAAAGTGTAATAAATAAATAAATAAATATATATTATTTAAAGAAATAAGTTTAAAAATAATAATAATAATTACATAAATCGCGATATTTCGGTCTTTGATTGAATTTGTCATTATTACTTCCTCCTCCCATGGATTGAGATTGTGAAAATGAAGGTGGAGGAACTGGAGGAGGTGAATATTGATGAGCATTTGGATTATATTTTGGTTCCGTTGGAGGTGGTGGAGGATAATATTGATAATATTGTTCACCAGGTTGGCCTGATTGATTATAATGACCGGGTTGACCGGGTTGACCGTAATAGTTCATTCGAGACATGAAATTATTTTTGAAAATCCGAGCATAAGAAAATATTTATATAAAAATTTGCATTTGAACTAAAATGTTCTTATTTCATATTTACATCATATATACTCTGGCGTCATTATTATCGAAATTTCGAAAGTTTATTTAATAACGCAGTATTCTTTAATTTTTAGTAATCTTGTAATCATCCGTTGTGGGAATATAGCAAACCTGTTAGTATTGTATGTATAGCATGCTTTTTTTCATATATGGATTATTTTGTTATTAAAGCATACCATACATTCAAAAAAAACCGTTGAGACAATTTCGAACATTCTGGAATAAACCACATTTTCGTATTACTTGAGCTTACTAATTATTAATACGATTATGTAAAGTTTAAAGTTTAAAATCAAATATAGTTTTAAGCAACACGGTACTACTGTCAACCTCTCATTCCCGAACAAAGACCACATTTTTAACGACCCTCAAAGTGCAAATAAAAATCAAGGA